ATATATATATATATATATATATATATATATATATACAGCAAATATTTTTTTATTATACAAATAAACACATTTCAGAATTCAGGATATTTGTAGTTTTGAGTAATGAAGCCAGTAGGCTGACAGATTTTTGAACTGTTCTAATCTGCTACATATGCGGGAAAATTATCAATAAACAGACAACATATATAGTCAGAAAACAAAGAAACATTGGTTGATTACATTTTACATATATGCAACAATAGAAAAACAAACAGTTTACCAAAAAAGTACAAATACATACAATATTTAATAGAAATGGGACAAATAGTAGTTCCGATCAGATATCAGATATGTGGCTCCTAATATCGACTGCATTCAGATATTTTTGGATCAGATAGTAGATGTGGCCATACATACTACTGAGAAAATATGCAGCAGCTGTGACTACTACTTTATAACAGCATATAATGAAACTACTTACTTCATTAAGGGTTTGAAAATTTTCTTTGGATGTGCAAGGGAATATTAAAGTTCCACAAGAATGAGTGTCCATTACAGGATCTTTAAGGGAATGCAGTAGTTGGTAGCATGAGACTATGCTTTATACATGACTGATAATGTTGCTTGGATTGTGCTTGCTGCTGCTGCTATCTTGACTACCTATAGTATACAGTAGGAACATCACAAGTGACCATGCTTTTGAATTATATAACATCTATCTGCATTACAACTACAACTACCAGGGCTCCCACTCTTTAATACAGAGGGAGATGATGCAATGTTTAGAAGCCACGAGTGGGCTAGATGATGTAATACCTATTATATGTGATGATTGTGTAAGTAGAATTATGTCTCAGGATTTGCACATTGTCATGATAATAAAATTGAAAGACTTCATAATAGCTTTTCGAGGCTTCAACCATATTTTTTTTTCTAGTACTCCCAAAAACAGAAATTCATGAAACATTTGACAAATTCCTGATCTTGTCTCACTAAACAAAGAAACATTTGTGCTGTTTTTTCCTGAAGAAACATTTTTTAACAAAAGCCTTCAAATACATACAATACTTCTCATATGTAATCTTACCTCACTTTCACCCACCTTGTACAGATCTATTACTTTGTTAGAAGTGTCATAACACACTATGCTGACTAAGTTTTTGTTCTCTACCTGATTTTTGAATTCCTTTTGGCCTAACCATTTCATATTAAATATGCACTTCCCCATGATTAAAAATGAGATAATAGAATGTTTAATTCAAGAAGATAGGCTTATCAAACATCAACAAAGAATGTAACACAGAATAACATTTGTTGTTGTTTTTCCCCTACTCACTGTTTGTCTTTACACTAAACACTTGCTGCGTCACACTGATGCTGGAAAATTATGTTAGCAAAAGTGTTTTATGGCAGAGAAAAAACTAAGAAGAAAAATCATGCTTTTTGGAAACCATATGAAAGTTGAACAGGGTGCCACACTTTGGCAAATACAAAAACAATTAATTAAAGTAAATAATTTAGTAATTTATTGACGTCACAAAAACTTCAGAAAGGCCTAATTATATAATACTAAAGAAAGCATTATAATAGAAATTTTATAAAATACAGGGATTTATCAATTTTTCAAGTGATTTCATTGAAATTCAAGGGCTTTTTAAGGCCAAATTGGAATTTAAAAGAATTTTCCAGACAACTGTGATATTTAAGGATTTTTCAAGCTCTGTGCAACACCTGTGCCTGTGTAATATTGTAAGAGAACCTACTGATGGAAATGATATTTGATTATCTATTCATCATGAAATTAATATCCTATCAGATGATGTTTGATATTAAACTTCAATAGGATTGAATATTTGTCACATCCCTAGAATTTAATGTTTTGAACTTGCTTATTATATATAAATTTAATAATGTAGCTTAAGTTTCCACTGGCAGATTACACTTTCAGATTTGAAAATAAAAATTAGCAACATATTTTCAATTTACCAACTAAATACATTTTTATAAGTGGAACAGGAATTGTTACTACCAACAGGCCTAAAATGTAGGATACATTTCTAATGACTTGCCAGCTATCAGCAAAAAGTTAAACAATAGGCTATCTGTGCTTGCACACCATAAACATCTCCAACCTCAATATTTGGCTTTATAAGACCTCGAGGTTACCACTGAACCACCAAGGGGCAGAACAACAATTGAAGAAAAACATTTATTAGATCTTAAATATCATGAGATATTTAGTTATTACAGTATTAAATCTTATAATCACAATTAATTATGCAAATTTTTTCCATAAATAATTATTCAAAACAGCAACAAAACTAATTTTATGACTTGTGAAAACTTACCTAGGTTGAGATAAGGCAACTTTTTGTATGAACTAAATACAGGAAATGTTTATCTGAAAGCTATACAATGCATATTGAAGTAAATATAATCCAATAACAGCTAGATGTTGCTTTCAGGAACTACTAATACCAAACAACTAACATGAAAAATTGCACAACAAAAGAGTTATAATAACAGAACATTCTATGAGCACATTATGTCCATAGATTCTATTGTGTTGCTTACAGACCTGAAAATAAGACAGGAGTTAGGAATAAGATAACAAAAGATTCAGAAAAGACAGGTCTAAAGCCCATGATTTCATAGGTACATTTCTCTCTAATTCTAAATAACACAAGCATACATTTACATGTAACTACTTCTAGTTTCTTTTATAAGACTTACCACAACATTGTCAATATCTGCATACAAGCCATTGATTACATCCTTGCTGTCTGAGTTCTTCAGCAAAGCATCCAAAGAATATGGCTGAACAACAGAAAGAATTCGAGCTGGATGACCAAGACGAACTAATCGAATTTTATACTTAGAGAGTTTTTCCACCATGTTGTCTACTGCTACATTTGATGGAGCACATGCAAGCACCTGAAGCAAGAGAATTATCATATATGAGTACTGACTGAATTTAATTAAGTTTAATAACTGAAAACAAAGAGCTTGTAAAGATATGTTGAATTTACCTGATCTATATGTTTATAAAAGCCATTCTGTATATGTAATGGTCTCTTTGTTGGTAATACTCAACTCTCTGTTGGTCATGTTCAAACTGGCTCAGTGGATTTTCTCAAGCAGAAGTATCGAGTTCAAATCCCGGTTGAGTGGGAATTGTTTCACAACTATATTTAATTATTAACTCATGTTAAGAGCAAGTTATTACAATATTAGAAAAAACCATAACAATATAACATTAAGGGTTTCAATTATCTGTTAACATTCAACTACAAGGACTGGGTGTCACAGTGGTTATAGCACTCGACTATTATATGGAAGTCTCATGTTCAAATCCCAGCTGAGGCAGTATTTTATGTAAATTTTATTTTATTATTATATATTTTATTTTACATTTATTATTATATTTATATTTTTAACATTTATTATCATATTTATATTTTTAACATTTATTATCATATTTACAACAAGCTCTTTGAATATTCACAAAAATATGAATATGATTATAGATTAAATAAAGAATAATATCATATTCCATATTAAACACGGGCGACCGTACGTATCAAAAACAACCTATATATCTTTTCAATGCAGTAAATGGCTCTACAATACATTTTTATTGATGTTTTTCACTTTATGTAAGAGATTTTTAAAAATTTATTCAAAATATTAACAAACATTTTACATGCAAAGTTATACCTTTGTACATTTACCCTTCACAATAAAATTCATTGTCTTTGCCATAACAATTAATAAATTGCAGGGTCAGACATTTGACCATGTAGGAATATTTCCTCAAGAACCAGTTTTTTTCGTACAGTTCAATCTATAAGGCTTTATGAAGAAAAATATTTGAACATAACATCAAAATATACATATGTGAAAATTCTAATCAAGAATCACTTATAAGAAATGACAAAATATAGACCAAAAAAAAATAGTTTTCATGAAATACTAGGAAAAAAGGATAAACATTCTTTATACCCAAGTTTTTACTATAATAAATTTTTAAAAACCATGTTCATAAAACATTTATTTAGATTTAATTTTCAGAAGAAAAATTAATCAGCATTTACCAATATATGACAATCAGCTAGTAGTTCAATAAAATGTAGAATGCTTTTAGCTTTCATAAAATTTCTTTTCAAAAGATAAAACACTGCTCAAATGCCATACAGCTCTTGTTATTCTTAATATATGCAGCATGTAAATGTAAGTACTTTATCTTTATGCCAAGACTAAAATTACATAACCTTGACTATGAAATATACATCTCACCAAGTTTGAAGATTATAATAATTACAACGGAGGACTTCAGGAACAGAATGAAAACAAAATTTCTATCTGTATAGAAACAGCACAGGTTTCATAAAATCTGATTGAATACTTCAGAATTCAGTCGAAAACCTTCCTAGAATGACAATCATTTTTACTTGGAATGTACACGGCCATTTTTATTATCTTAAATAAGCCATGATGGGAACTTCATACAATGATTTGAGTAAACTTAGAAATCAATGTAGTGTGTTAATACAATATCATAGAAACATATATACTAGTGGTGAGAACTGGTTATAAAATAATGTTTAATGATTGTTTAGCAATTGATTACTGGTAGCAATGTAACTATTCATTAAACAATACTACGTAATTAATTACTTTTGTTAATATCATTGAACATTTTTTGTAATTGGGATGATTTATAAATTAGCCTGGATTAGCTAACTGCTGTCAGATTTAGCATTTTCCACTATGAAAGCATGATCTAGATTCCTCTAGTCTTGATTCTACATTAATACACCCAATAATTAGCCAAATGTATTCACTCATGCATATGACAACAAATTAATATGTAAAAAAAATTAGAGAAGAAGAGAATTTTCAGTGCATGGGTTACACTTAATGGTTTTTTTTGGTAGCCAGCTGGAGCACCTAGACATGTCTTTTGGGTGGCCAAGCAGCAGTTTAAGTGGCCAATGTATTTTTTCCTTATTTCATAAAGAAGCAACCTGTAACTGAATGAATTGTACTTTATAACTTATAGATCTTTTTACTTGTAATACTATGTTGCATAAAATTGTGTAAAATGAGTTTGGTTGCTCAATTCCATCAAATAAATAGGATAAAAACTCATGTGACTGATTGACGATGACTGCAGACAAATAATCCAAGACAGTGAGTGCACATAGTTCTTTTTTTTCAGTCTTTATTAAAACATTCACTCTTTGAACTTAAAAAACTGTCACATCACACCTGGTGAGATCAGAACTTCTACTCTGAACACTTGTGCTTTGTCTTCAAAAGTAAAAACAAAACACACAACAAATCCCAAACTTCTTGCCATTTGCTTACAGTAAAACAGAAGAAGCTTGGAGGTACAATCAATGGAAGACAATAAAGTGTAACACTCAAAGTTAGCCCAGGTCACTTGGTGCTGGATAAGGTAGAAATATTGTGTTACAATAAATTAAAAACTATATAGAATGATGCACTACAAAACTGTAAGACTCCTTTAATTTCCTACACAAATCATCTCATTGTCTATTCTGATTCAGAACTCAATCTGGCTGAGCAATCAGTATCAGGAAAACAGGTGGAAAGTGGTTAGCAGGCTGTGATTTCCATTATTTTTTCATTCCTCTTTTTTTTTTTTATTGCATTAATACCAGAATTTTTTTTTTCTTTCTTTATTTGTCATATCTCTAGTCTTCATCTTCCAGGCCATGCCCCACCATGAATATCCTTGAATCCATGTGTCCTTTATTGATATTCATACCACCAAAATACAACTTCAAAGTGGTACCTACATGTATGTTTGTACCTAAATTACAGAACAATCCCCTTCCCTAGGGAAACCATACACGGATTGTTTTATCTCCCTTTGCAGGCTTTTTCAAGTTACTTTACCTCTTTTCTATGGAATTTAAGTTTTACTCCTTATGAAGGGATTGTGACAATTCCAAGACCCCTCTGTTCTATTTCTCGAGAATGGGGCTTCAAATATCCTTGTTTGCAACATTTCTTGGGCCTAGATGACATCTCACAACATACACCTTTTCTCCGAGAAAATTATAAAATGCATGCAGCCTTTCAGAGCCTGGAGTGGGAGCCAGGATCCATTGCATACAGCACAGCATGCAGCTAAAGTTTTGTTAGTGTCTGTGCTGTGCATTTTGGAACAGCTTGAAGGTGCTTGGCAACTTACCAATTACTGTACACTACATTAAAGTTGTCTCTTGAAGATTTGTGAGTACATATGATCACAGTGAACATGATCTTGTGTTACAGATGTGATAGCAGTTACTCACGTGATACAGAATGAATGACCCATATTTATCAAGTTGATACTATGTTGAGTAAAGACTGCAATGATGTTAAGTAATATATAATTGTAATAACATTTTTAATTTCTCATTCAATTAAATATACAAAGGCATACAACATTGTGTTAATCAGTATCTGTGTTTTACTGTAAAATGTCTTTAAAAAATACCATCACATTATGCTATTGCTTTCCTTAATATATTATACAGTAATTGGCAAGTTGACAAAAGTTTCCCCACTGTGTGAAGATGTTAGTTACCAATCAGCTTCACGCTGTCCCAAAATGCAAAAAAGCCCGTGCTAGGAGATACACTGTACACAGTCAGAGCTGGGTGAATGCGAGTTCATATAGGGTTTCAGTCTGCGGTCGCCATTGTGCCATGCATCCAACCCTCTGGATAATGGCGAGACATTCACTCAATATGTGAGAATAACATTATAAATAATTCTCAATATAACTTTACTGTTCTTGTAATTTTCTCATGACAAACATTATTTATCTTGTAGATGAAATAATCACTTAAATTCAGATTTTCATGGGCAATTTTTCAGTGGCCACATGGACCACCCAGGAAATCAATCAATAATCAATTAATAATTGATCCTCAAAATGTCGACAAAAATTTTAACAAAAACTCAAACTAACGTACAACACTGAATGATACTGGAGATAGTATCATTAATTGCTTAACACTATCATTTTGACAACAGATCACCTGTAAATTTTAATTGTGTTACAATTACATTATGACTTTGAGAAAAATGTTTTCAATAATTCAAGACATTTTAAAGTTACAAAATGATGGATTAACAATACATAGTTATAATTAAAACCCTTAATGATTTCAGCTTTCCTTTAACTATATTCTTTTAACTATACTACTTTAACTTTATTAAATTACCCTATTGCATAAAGGTTTACTTTTCAAGTTCGCAGGAAGACCTTTTTTTGCTTCTTTAAAGTAAAACTGGAGTACAATTCCTATTTTAACTTAACACCATTTTATACTTCAACCTTCTACAATAACAAACATTAATATTGCTAAAAAAAATATCTGTAGTGCCATCTATGAACAAAACAACAAATCTTACCCCTTAGAACATGCTGTACTCTCAAAATTTCCAGTACTTTAACACAAACTCTTATGAGAACCAGTATCATTTATACGTAAAATTACTGTAACAAAGTAAAAATATTTACAACTAAAATATTACTTAGACATATCAGTCTTTCGTCATTTGAACTTGTGAATCTTATATGTGTAACACTTACTGTAAAAATCCCTTTTTTTATTACAATTTGGAATAAAAAGTTAAAGCAAATGATGGAATGTTTATATGGAAAACAAAGTATTAAGTCATCAACAAATTAATGTCGCATTTTGGAAAACTTTCACTAACCATCCTCCATAAAACATACATCACGTATAATAGTTAAACGAAATCCTAAACGCCATGTTAGTGTAGCCTATATACTGTGTAAAGTTTAGTTTACTCTAATCCTTTATAGTGATCGCATATGATGAGTCACAGATTTGGCATGTAATGCTGTTTGAATACAAGAAGGGAAACAATGCCTCTGTAGCCACAAAGAATATCATAGAAGTTTATGGAAATGTTTTGAACGTTCGTAAGTGTCAACGATGGTTCAGCAAATTTCGTTCAGGTGACTTTAGCCTTAAAAACTGTGATGGCAAGGGCAGACATGTTGGAATTAATATTGATGCTCTGAAGACGCTTGTTAAGTTTAACCCAAGGCAACACACTCGTGAAATGGCCCTGAAATTGCATGTTTCTCATGAAACAATACATAAACGTCTAAGGAATATAGGAAAACTCCTTAAAGAAGGTGTTTGGGTGCCTCACGAACTCTCCAGTGATCATCGTTTCCAACGTGTAAACGTTGTTTCGTCTCTTGTGGTGCATAATGTCAATGAACCATGTTTGGACAGAATTGTCACCAGTGGTGAAAAAATGGATTCTCAATGTGAATATTAAATGCCAAAAACAATGGCTCAGTCCTAGACAAAAACCATTTCTGACCTCAAAACCTGGACTCCATCTGCAGAAAGTGATAATTTTCATTTGGTGGGACATCAAAGGAGTAATTCATTTCGAACTCCTCAATCCACAGCAAACTGTCAATGCATAGATCAGCAACTGGAATGTTTAAATCAAGCCCTTTATCAGAAATGCCCTTCATTCATCAGTTGGAAAGGTGTTCTTCTCCACAACAATGCACATCCACATGTGACACGTTTGATGCAACATAAGATTATGGATTTGGGTTGGAAGGTTCTCCCCTACCCACCATATTCTCCAGATATGGCACAATCAGATTACCATCTTTTTCATTCACTGCAACACCACCATAATGGGAAAATGTATGCAAATGTGGAAGGTGTTAAAGAGGACATTGATATGTTTTTACTTCAAAGCCAAGTGATTTCTTTAATCAGGGCATTAACAACCTGACTGTAAGATGGAAAAGCATCACTGATAAGAATGAAGACTATTTCATTTAATAAATGTTTTGTTTGGATATATAAGTTGTTCGAGTTTTTTCATCCAAACAAAAAAGTGACATTAATTTCTTGATGACCTTATATAATACTGTTGTATGCAAAGTACCTGTGATTAAGGAAATAAGTATAAAAGCAAACTAGTCATAACAGTAAAAACATCACAGAGAAGGAACAGTCTTGATTTTCTTGTTTAAAAGCTTAAAAAACTTTTATATCACTTTTATGAAAGAAAGATTTCTTAACCAATGAAAAAAAAATTAAATAACAAAACTCATATAAGTTAGGCATTTATTTACAAAGTAAATTTATACTACTTAGAAGTGTACAGTTTATATGAGAGCAAATATCTTGGTGGTGATCTGAAGGTCATAAAATCAAACCGAAAAAAAATTACCATGAAAGTTATAGAGAAAGTTAGGCCATAGGTAAAAACTAATAAATATAAACTAAACATCACCTTTTGTCTTTGGTGAACTGTCTGCAAGATTATTTCTACAACTGTTGTGGTTTTGCCAGTGCCTGGTGGGCCATGGACAATAGCTACTTCATTTTGCTTCAAAGCAAACATCACTGCTTCTTTCTGGGAATCATTTAGTTCTGACTGAAAAAACTGAAAATGGCTTTGCCCTATAAATAAACAAAGTATATGAAAAAGATTTGTTAAAGACAATGTCAATGAATCTTTATAACTTTTCCTTTCTATTCCATGTTGTTTTTTTTATATAGATGTCAAGGTTTCTATGTGAGAGATGAAAAAAAGTTCAAACATAAAATAAGCTAACAGTTATGGCAAGCAGTCAAAATAACAATAAGGTAAAAATAACAAATGAATATTGTGTGAAGATCATATTACTGTGGTTCAAGTGTTTTTTAAAATTTTACAAAATTTAATTTATTCTGGTTTTATTTGTCCTTTCAAAGCTATGTTTTTATGACTGGTTGCCCTTACGATAAAAGTTTGTACTTCTTTAAATTCTCATACTTTTCTTTACAATTAACCCTATGTTCAATGGTAAGGGTCAAAGTGCAAAGGTCAAAACTTTTACAATTACATTCAAAATTTAATTAAACAACTTTTTCATCAATGTATGTCAATAAATTTGGCATAAAAACCTAGTTTATAATTTAAATCAATACAAGTTTCGATTTCTTAATTTAAAAAAGGAAATATTTAAGTAAGTTTTCAATCATCACTTTTATGTGTAACTTGATATCTCACTGCTCTGAATTATCCATTTTTGGATTTTTTTTCTTTCTTCTCTTATAGAGGTTTCAGAATGTCCACCAGTTAGATACACCAACTACAGATATTGACAGGCCATTATTTCAAATAAGAGCTTCCCAAGTTCTTTACTATTAGAGATATCAATAAATTTGTTACATCTACCACAAGAGCTCCTCCCAACTCTTCATGCTCTTGAAATTATTATTTACTCATGCTTATTTGTCAATGTCGCATGTTTATAACAAACAGAAGGGCTCTTTGTGATCTATGTGCTCAAGTTAGTTTTTCCTTACAAGGTGCGATTGTTTTATTCAGTGAAGATCACAGTCGATGATCTAGTAAATAATGAAAAAGTTTAAATCATTTTAAAGGGCAATTAGAAAGCTAAATAAATTATGGTAGTTTTCATTTTGGGGCATTCTGTTTTACTGCTTGAATTATTGTTTGTGTTTTAAAATACATATTTGAAAGCTATATGAATTATTTTTTGGACAACCAACTTAGAAAAATTAAAAGTTAATGAAGACTGGTTTCTAAGAGCTAAAGTGCCTCAATCCTAAAGTAAATGCTAAATTTCTGTATTATGTATATTTTTAATTTGTATCAAATATTTTTTAACAAAAGTAACTAAAATGTAAAAATAAAAATCATTTTCACATCAAGGAATGGATTAGGCATATGTAACTAGACATTGCATCATGTAATCAGAAAATTTGTTTACACTAAACTCGCTGCACTCCTGCTGGGTGATTTATTGTTATTCACAGTACTTAGACATGGTAAAAAAAGTAAGAAAACAAAACAAATTCATTGAAAACAAAAGTAACCTGTTATGAGCCTTAAGTTGTTTAGAATAAATAACTGTAATTTTGCATCAAAATATGCAGTCATTCAAGAAAGAAAAAAAGGTTAATTTAGATTTATTTCATATTTTTTGTGGTTGTTAGGAGGTAGTACATACGGACCAAGCCTGTATAGTATTAGGGTAGATAAACAAACAGATAAAATATAAAGTTTCACTGAAAAAATTTTTGATATTCATTTATGAGGTTCTAGAGGACATGTAAATGAAATATGAAAACTGTAAAATAAAAAAAACACGTTATACTTAACATCAAAATTATCTTGCACTTAGACTAGTGAGACTGAATACAATACATTCAAAGACAAACGTTTAGTAAAAATACTTTGTCAAAAAATTATGAAAGAGTCTAATGTAAAGAAATTTTAACTTCCAAAATGATATACTTACCTCTCTGTACTCAGTAGCTAGAATCCCACAGTGATGTGTTGAAGAGGCCAGTGCAATTGCAAAAACCTAAATGAACTTCCTTTGGAGAAGGTGCCTGAAGGGGAAAGCCTATGAAGTGAGACACCCTATAGTGAGGAGATCATATTCATTTCATGCAGAGAATACTTTTTGCCTGGATGGAGTTATGAAAGGAGGAAGGCAAAATGAGTCCATGTGTCATAGAGATGGATGGAAAAAGACAAGATCAACCAAGTAATTGCACACAACAGGTTGGTTGGACAAGAGGTGTAGCATGGCCATATGGTTTGGTATGTGTTCTGTTGTTCAACTCAGACTCGCATACAGGAATAACAATCAAGTCCCTTTCTGTCACATGAAGGGAACACTTTGCCCCATCCAGTTTGCCAAACCACTGGAAAATTGAGAAGATTATATAATAGGTGTGACATTAATACCTCTGCCCTCCTTCCCACCATACTGTACTGCCCACTTGGACTCTTTTTGGAGGAATCCGCACAACTGGTGAGAAACTCTCCAAGTTGACCACCTTAATGGCAAGAGTTTTCCATGCTCCACTACAATCAGGAGAGGGAGGAATTTACTTTGGAGAGATACCAGAGAGGTGCTCAGATCTAATCTGGCCTAACCACCACAAAGGTATTTTACTGGAGAAAGTGCAATGAGTTACCACAAAACCTAATTTAAATGTCAGCATGCACAATCCAGGAAAGTAGGCAGACATTTCCCAGTGCTAGTTTCTTACATGACAGTCCATGGAAGGTAGGATCTGGAACTCATTTCTACTTTAAGAAATTTAAGGGTAACTGCCTTCCCATAACTGGCTATAGACAGTAAAAGGCAGTAAAAGCTGTGACGTTGTGGGTTAAGCACTCAGCTTTGTATAATTATTTGACTGATTTTTTTAATGATTTTCCTTGACAGCTGACTAGATTGATATCAGCGTTTCGATTTTGTCTGATAGATGGGATATCCCTAGCGCATTTGGGTGCTATTACCACAGACATTATCCATTATGACAATAAGTTGACAACCTGGACCGATAACGATACTGCAATATTTAACTCTTTCAACCCAGGCTCGGTCCCTGAGACCGACCTCATAACCATTTTGTCCTTGTCATAGTTTTCAAGCTATAACTTTTAAATTAGTAAACGAATGTTAACGAAATTTGGCAGTTTATGAGTAAACATTACAATGCTTTCATACGCAAAATATCTAATCTTTTTATCATTAAGTTTTAAGGTTTGTAAAGCAATGTTTTTTTTCTTTTCACATCTTGCCTATCTATCATGCAAAGTAATTTTCATCTTAACATTAAAAATACTTTTATGCATCAGAAAATTTTATAATGTCCAAATAATTATCAAATGTTTCTTAAGAAAAAACTTTGTGTTTTATCTGTTATTTTCAGTAATTAATCTCTGTACGGGTTCAGTAGATTTGAACGATCTCGCAACCACCATAAAAAATTAGGAAATAAATATAAATTATGCATCTTTCATTCTAAAATGAACACAAATTATAACACGAAAACATATGTGTTTAGATAAAATAGCTTAAATGTCACAACATTATACATTTATATATACATCTATTATTTTTATTATATTGACCTTTCACCCGTGCCTGGCTAACAATACAGAAGTTACAATAATGAGGCTCACATGCACTCATGTTACCATATCTAATAACATAAAGGTGACCTTTGGTCCGTACAAAGTAACTTGTCTTGGCTGCGTTTTAGTCGACTAGTATTTTGTAAAATACAGTCAAATTTCAATAATTATACATTATATATGTATATAGATTATTGCTATTTTAAAATAAGTTCTTAAAGTTATTTTTCCTAAAACATAGAACAGTAAATAAAGAAGTAGAGCAGACAATTATCTCTTCTAGTTACGACCTTTGTACTCAGTTGCTAACTCTTTAAAAATTTTGCACATGGAGGATATGAAACAAAACGTTTTTTTAGGTTTTATATATACATTTGAATAACTAAAAAATCATAAATTACTACATCAATACCATGGAATTCAACTATAATTTACCAAGCTTAGTAACTAAGATGTATTTTACTCTAAAAAAATATATGAAATTTTAAGCAAACTAAAGACACTACCTACTTCATTGAAATCTTGATTTAAAAGAAAGAAATGATACTAGGTACGTTAGAAAGTCTTAAAAACCACTAGAGGGATATTCTTAGCTTCTGATTAGTTATTCAAAATGGAAGGAGGTGAGCAGGGTGCCACTATGATTTATTATGTGAGCAATATCTTAGCAAATAGAAAAGATAAGACCTTCTTATTTTATATCCTAGCTTGTCAATATCTGTAATTTGAGTTTCTAATTCATACGAAACTACAGACTTAGTATTTTGACTTCATAAACATCTAATTTGAACCAGTGCTGCATTCAACATACCACATGACACACAAAAAATCTATGTTTGTGTTTTTTTTTATATTTGCTTTTAAATTAAGAATTTGAGTGATATATACATAGTATTAAAATTTGGATTATAATCTACAGTTTGATACCAAATTTAATGATATAAATTCATGAAATAGTAGTTCAATAAAATTTTGAATGCGAGTCAACAAACAAGATGACATGGCCTTTCACCTGTGACCTGTATCAAAAGGGTTAATTCATTATATTGTTTTATAGTGCTGATTTAATTACCTATTAACAATTAATGTAATCAATAGTTCGTAAGCTATTTATTTAAAAGAAAATTATGTTGGGGTGTTGATTTTATCACCCTTTTCTCTTGTTTTATATTTTAGGAATATTCTGTTACCCTCGTATACAGATTAATAGCCTAACTAGCTATTAATCAGTTAATTAAAATATTTTACATCAATATATAAAAAATTTTCTTGGAAAAGCTCCAGATGTTTAACCTGTCCGCAGCCATGGATTTTCAAAATGTACCACCGTGTAAAGTATATAATTTATTTATTAATTAGTGGTATATGTGGACTTAAATACGTAGAACTAACAACTAATCCATTACATCTAAGGATTAACCTATATAGATCACAAATTAATATGGGTTTTTCCTCATTCGATAAAAATAAATCATTTTAATAAACATTTATTTAATAATGTAAAAATTACTAT